AGATTCTTTGAACTACAGGATATACATGGTCGTGTTGAACCATTAGCCGAAGTAAATTTATCACCACCTAAATATGCAAATGTACGTGTAATATTTAATGATCTAAGTAATGAACAATTGGAAAATGATCAACTAAGCTATGAATCATTAGTGAGACAATGTAAAGATTCACGTTCATTTAAAGTTGATCTAAATAAATCTGTACGAAATTTTAAAGTGCAATTAAGGTATGTACGAATGGATGAAACAAAAAAAAAATTTGATAATGATGATGATGATGATAAACATACCAGAAACATATAATCCAATTATAATTTTGATTTTTTTTCATTCTTTTCTCCCATTCATTCATTATATATCCTGTCAATCATTTAAAATTTTCATTTTGGTTATAAACATCAACGTTATTGTTATGCATGATGATAATCGATTTCAACGATTTGATCAACAACAAAAAAATTCCCTGGAAAAAACAACAACAACATAGCTCATTATATAATGTAATACCAACAAATATTCGTGTATTCTATATCGATACTGAAATGTCCGAATTATTAGGCATCCTGCATATTGAAGAGTTACGTTTTGCACAGAAAAAACTTTATACATATAATGTACAGGATGGTGATGAATTTCTTATCGAAATGAAATGAAAACACATCATTCAAAAATCAAATCATTATCAGTGAAAAAAACAAACAAACAAACAAGTGCAAAATTTTCATTTTGTGAAATGAATGATGAACGAATTCAACCAATCCCATGTTCATCATTACATTGTTTTCCGATGTTTTTTTTTTGTTGTTGTGATTTTGTCAATAATGATCATATAAATCATAGGAGATTTTGTTTCTGCCTGAAAAAACAACAACAATTCTATTTTGGCCATACATTATTTTGCGATATCAAACTGATTGTCGTTTTGCGACTGTTTTTTTCTCCGGCAATTTGATTAATAAAACATTAAAACAAAAATTCAACAACGACAAACAAGGAATCGAATGAATCATTTTGCCTGTTTCGATGGACACAAAATGTAAAGCTTATTTTTCTTCAAATTTTTTTGTCGTGATATAATTTTAATTTCATTTTTCGTTTTGTTCAACATTTTAAAAACAAAATATTCAGTTTACCTGTTGTTTTCTTGTTTCTTGTTGTGATTTGCTTTGCTTTTACAATTGGCCATTTTCATTTGCTTTCATTTTTTTTTTAATTTTGTTAATTTTTTTTTGCCACCCCCACAACCAATAACTGTTATCCATAAATATATGATTAGTAGGAATATTTCTTTCATTCTTTCTTAAAACACACATATGATAAATTTTGTGTAAATGTCAAACATGTATAATATTTGTCTTAAATTGAATAAATAAAAAAAAAATTTCAAATTATAAATTTGTAAAGTATTTTTTTCTTGGATAAAAACCCAATTTAAAGGAAAAAAAATTTGGATTACAAAATGGCCAATAATGATAATTGAACCTTAACGATGACGATTAATGTGTTTGAGTGTGTGTGTGGATCGGATTGAAAAGATTTTTCAGTGTTATTAACCTTTGG